ATCGATATCTCTGGTTCTACTGGGCCTAACAAGTCCCTTAAAATGGGAAAATTCTCTTCAGCTGAAGCTAGTGATAACTGGAAATTTGTTACTGATGCGCTGGTTATCCTCGGTTTATTTTTGTCACCATCAAGGTTTTGTTTACACGCGTGCCGATAGTAATTTGTTCGTCGCGCAACTAATTGTGCGTGAAATAAACTCGAGTCGGCATCATGTTTTCATGCCGCTTTGTGGCACTCTTAATACAATAAAATTCATCTGAGAGGTTGAAATGCAGGTAGGTGAGAATTTTCTTCAATTCAACCTCCAGTAGATTTCAAAATTGTCACATAACCTGCACCTCCCTATTACCCGCAGTGGCGCATGTTTAGGGCAAAATCAACAGATTACCCGTGGGTAAACGGCCGGAAATTACGGTAGTAAAAATAACTGGTTACCGACTCTTAACAAGAACCCTGAAAACTAATGCATCACAATTAAGTAAGTGAAATAGCTGGCAACATTTACTTGAACAGCCAGTAAAAATAACTGGTTACTGGCTCTTAACGAGAACTCTGGTCTACAACTTTTTTTAATTCTCTCTTCAAAACAAAAATTCACTTTTTACCTTAATCAAAGCATCATTGTCACCAATTTCTTGGATAACCAGTATGTCAAGTCTGTAAAAGTGAAAGAAAAGTATAAATTAAAATCTTTTCACAAGATAGGATTTCCAGTAAAAAGAGAAAAAACCATAATGAGCAGATTTTCAAGGGGGGGAGGGATTGGGGGCATAGGCTATAAGAACCTCTCTCAAGATATTTCAAATTATGTTGTTTCAGAATTCTTGTGAAAGATGAATGTCTATAGTTTCTATGCTGCAAAATTGATGGGATTGCAAAGAAAGGATTGACATCTTGTGCTTTAAGCCTTTCACCTTTTGCTTACAATAAGTGTTTATCAGTCAAAAAAATGGAGGATCACCCAATAAGGAGGTTGGAAAAATGCTCTGTTACAGAAGACTACACCAAATTCTGAAATAAAAGGTTACTCTTTGAGCATAGGATCTGCATCATAATGCTTCATGTCTTTGGGAAACCAAACCCTTCCTGACCTGTCTATTCTCCCAACTTAATGCCACATTTCAGAAAAATCTGCCTTACTTCTAATACTTTAACTAGATTTACTTACCCATTCTCTAAAACTGTACGACAGATAACCTCTTTAACTCCGGCATGCTCTGCTTTATCAAAACTAAAGGACTTCAAATTCCATGATGCAATCCGCAGTGTTTCATTATTTGTTTCATGGGGAATAACTTTGGGAATTTTAGGAGTCTTTGCTAATTTGACAGTCACTTGTGATATTATACTATCCAAAAGTTTTTTGCTCACGCCTTTTACTGATATAACATCTTCTAGTTCTTCAAATGGGCCATGTTCTTCTCTATGTACAACAATCCTTCGAGCAAGAGTTGGTCCGATGCCCTTAACAGACTCTAAAAGCTCTTCAGATGCTGTGTTCAAATCTATTTTTTCCTCTGAATCTTTTTTCTCGTCCTTTTCAAAACTGAAAATATCTTTTTTCTCAACCTTTTCAACGCTAAGATCACCCGAAGAGTCCACACCAATAAGAATGTTATTATCGAGCTCAACTTTGTATTTTACATTACATTTTTCCAAAACAGCCACAATATCCCCGGTGGTCTTCAAAGAACCTTTCCCACGTAACAGTAAAAGTTCGTACGCAATTTCCTCATTTATTCCCTTTTGAATAAGTCCGTTTTTCGCCTCTTGATCTACCAGTTGACGTTCTTCGAGCTTTGTACTTGAACCTTGGTATCTTACATCATTTCTATCATTTCCAGTCCCTTTAATCTTGATTCTTGTAGTTTCTGTTCTTTCATTTCGAGTTCGCCAACAGAACTTTGAGCATTTGCACCCCATTTCATTGCAGAGGGTTCAGATACGCAAGGTCCGCCATATTTGTTTTTGAGCCTCGCTATCACACTTCTCTCTTAAGGGAAATGCCGCTGACTCTAACTTCCTCATATAAGATCCTTACTGAAGGGCTTTCGGTTTTAAATCTAGAGAAAAGGAGACTTCTTTTCTTTTCCTCAGTGCTAAGATAATTAGCTTTTCTGTCTCTTAAAGTCTCAATAAATCCAAACATTCTGATAAATTTACTCGGCAGAAGCTGAAAAAGAAATCGAAGAGGGTTTTTAATTCTTGATTTCTGTTCCCTTCGAAGATTTTACGAACACCTCATGATTATAATACATCGACTGGAAACAACTTTTTTCCACGAATTTTTCCGAGGCTATTTCATTCAAAACACACTCCCCAAAAGAGCACTTCTCAAGACCAAACTATGACAGAAAATGATTCAAATGGTTTGAGATTTTCGTATGGGTCTAAATTGGTAAATCTAATAATAAGCTGGGGTTATTTTTAGAAGTAGTAGTAGGCGGAAAATTCACGAAGTTCACAATTTTGGAATAACTCGGGTCGAAGAGAAATGATCCAATTGGTCATTTCAAACAAAGCTGCATTTTAATGACAGGAAATTCACGGAAAAGCGATATTTCCAGCTCGAAAGCGATATTCTTTGGCCAAAATAGGAATTTTGACGACACCTAGAGGTTGTTTACCTGAAATATTTAGAGGTCAGAACAAAACAGTAAAACCCATTCGAACTAAAAATAGTGAAGGTGTCTTAATTAAAGAAATAGCGAGGGCAAAAATAGAAACAGGCAATTAAGAATTTAGTAGCCTTCCAGTTTCCAGCTGGTTTTGGGGCGAAGCAGGTATATTTTTAAGGGAAAAGTCTCCATGGCAACTGGCATTTCTCACTGAGGAACAGGTGGGACGTGTAATAACTCGCCCCAGTATGATGAGCGGAGACCGCAAGAGCCTGGGATTGAAAAAGCCGAACATTTCAAACCGGCTGTGTAAAACTCTGTAAATTGGAATGGACCTTCTCATGAAATTTTAGTTTACAATAAGCAGAAATTAATCGCCAGAAAAGTGCTGATAATGACCAAAAGTGCGACTTGATTAAAAAAATAAAATAGGATGGAGCACGCCATCACTGAACTTTTTCATTAACAAGTAACCGCCCCTTTACTAATAAAGAACCCAGTTCTTTTAAGTAGCTATTCTCTGATATTTAAGACCTTTTTTTTTTTACGGTGTGTCTGGTCCAAACAGTCTGAGTCTATTTCCTGCTTGCAGATCGATAATATTTTGAGCAAAATTATTTTTGAGCTTTGAATAATGCACTTTCGAAAACTGGACAATCGATCGAAAAAATAAATGTTAAGTGAGGCACTATTCCACAGTTTTCCCCCAAAAGGGTGAGCGCAGGGGATTGTTCAAGGGGGAACTCTTCGCGAGGCTCACGGAAATCTTTAAAGTCCAAAAAGATTGCTGAATGCCTTCGAATTTGAATGGTTCGTCTACTTAAAGATCTTGGAAGTTGTGCGGTACTCAGGTCACTTTTTATCGAGGATCTTAAATAGTTGGTTAATAACCAGGCTCTCTCGTGAATCTCCCAAAACTGAAATTTGACGCCACATGCCATAGTTTTAAGGGCGAACAGAGCAGAAGATCTGAATTGCCTCAGGGAACTAAGGGACACGGCAAACACGGATCTTTTGATCCCTACAGGCGCGAGAGTCCTTCTTAGAGACAAAGTCTTACATGCGTTGAATGGAATTATTGAATTGTTCTCGAAGTTATTTTAAGAACGTTTTTTTTTTTGACACTCACTCAGTTAGGTACTTGATCAAAAGTCCTGTAATGAGGCAAATAATCTTGCCCATTCAATTTCTTCACCTCTTCGTGGAAATGAAAAGACAGATTGTATTCTTTTTTCTTCTCTAACGTCCAGCTTTCTTACTGCCCTGTTTCGAATGTTTCGTACCCCCACGAAAAAAGAACCATTGATCGCCGGTCATTTACACACGCTAAAATTATGGCACTCGGCCTGCTAGAATCCCCTTGAAATCCGTGCAATAATTTTCAATGAACGATGTTGAGCAATCACTTTCGTGCAAAATTAATTGAGCAGGTTATTTCTTCTAAACACTACAGACAGTGTTCTTCATAGAGAGGAAAGATAAATGGGCTTATAAATGACCACGGGATGTGGTCACGAATTAAAAAAAGTTGTATGCACAGAGCTTTCATTAGGTATCGATCGTCATGGTTGCGAAACTTAGAATAAACAACTACTTTAGCTTTCCAAACAGCGTTGCGCAATACTAAAAACAAATCATGTCACACTTTTAATCTACTGAACAACTACCGAACTTCTAAGGCCAGTATGATTGGTTAGAATCCTTGTTTCTCAGTCTCCTCTTCATTGCACGAAATCAGAACGAAGATTTTTGTAAACCTTAGTAGCTGATAATTTAGAACATTTAGTAGAGGTTTCGTGAAGTCGGCCGAATTTTTTAACCCTTGCTGGGTAGAGAATTTTAGTTGAATCCGTTTGCTCGCAAACGTTGAGCGGAAAATTATTGTTTTATGATTTTTTTCGTCAATCGAGTTTTGTTTACGAAACATATTTTGCAATAATCGTTCGAAGACATGTAAGCGCCGTTAATCGAGGCTTTTTACAAATGTGATTGTCGTCGCCACAGGATAATGTTTACAATTCGAGGACTTAAAATTTATATTTCTATATTTAGCACAAGCCGTTCAAACAAAAAACCGAAAATAGAGATAAGGTTAAATAATAAACACAAGGCAGTTTCCTTATTCGCTGAAAAGGAAATACAGGCGTTGTTGTGGAGGACCGCAAAATATATACACGAATGAACAATTTTGTGGATAAATTTGGATCAAGCCTTAAAGAAACCGAAATTCAGAACGCGTGCCAATTTCTCTCGCCGCGGAACTGTTTCGCAACCGCTTTTAGAATTTCGGATTCAATTGAACACTTATTAAACAAAAGACCCCGATATTTTAACTAAATGTCATGATTATAGAGGTTGTGCTATTGATATTTTAATTTCTTTTGTGTTCATGGCTTATTTTTAGTACTGTGTGTAAATTTGTCACTCGCGCGACTGACCGCAGTGACTTTCAGTGTTTCGGTTTGATTCTTATCAAGTTTTCGATTATTTTGACCGTACGTGTTTGAGCTCTGAAAAGTCTGTCTCGTCTGCTTAAATTTTGAAAGAACAGTCACAAATGTCTGCCATTCAAATTGAGTGTTGTCAAGAAAAAGTTCAAATCGAAGTCACAGACAGTGCTTTTCAAATCCAACATACATCAGAACTCTTGAAAACTGACCCGAAGGTCTGAGCTCCAAGATCGAGATGGACACACACTTTTTTGTCTCGTTCATTGACAATAAAGAACGGGAACGCTCCTCCAGATAATTTATGTGTATATCTCTAAGTACTATAGGTTACGAAATGTTTCCCCTAGATGATTGTATAGATTGAAGAACTTGCTCTTAATTCTGCATGTATTTACCTGGAATTTCTTATTCATCTTAGACGCTCAAGATTGTACTTGTAATGTTTTGAAGCCTATTTGAAAACATTATCGCGGTCTCAGCGGACTTTTCCTTTGTTTGTTCAAAATCAGACTCGGCGATCTCTTCTATTGTTAAATTGTTCTAACGCTACGTCAGCGTTGTTCTTAGAGTCGTCAAAAAAGGCCTAAAAACTTTGTAGTTTATATCCATACTACCGCAGCAGTCAAACAGAGGATGGAGATACCAAATGAGATCAAGGAAGGACAAGAAATGAGAACTTAAATCAACACGGATTCTAGATGAAGAACTTCAAAAATTTTTGTATCAAATGTTCAAAACGTGTGTCGTACTTCCTTGAGTAAAATTACTTGCTTATTACCAGAGCTACGAACGCGGAAAAATTGGATAGAAAAGATAGGACTACATTCTCATGATATGATCAGTGGCGTGTTTTATTTTTCTTAACAATAAGTTTTCTCGAACCTCTTTGGAAACAGCCCAGAAATTCGGTTCGACCGAGATGAGTCAGGTTTCGAGATATCTTTAGCAAATTTACAATGATTCGCGAGACCCGCCAAGTTCGAGAGACAGTAATAAATAATTAATCATAACTTCGCTTCTTCGAGCCTAAAGGGGAGGGAAGGGTGTGAAAAAGTGCTGGGGTGCATTTACCCCCCTTAATGAGAAGCAATCTTGTATGCTTACATACACAAACGAGACATTTGCACAGGGCACCCTACCGGAAGGTATCTAGCTTACTTCTCCGTCCGAAACTATTACTTCAAATTGCCATAAAGAATAAGAAGTTAAAGAAGAAGCTAGAGAAGATCCTAAAGAAGGAGTGCATGAGGAGATTGCGACTCGCTTTCCGTTCTCTCTGCCTACACGTTGTACTACTTTCAGTCAGCTTCCTTTAGATCCGATTCCCAGGGACACAAACACAAAAGGACATGTATCGATATCCATATGGAGAATTGAGAAATGAACGAAACGAAATGAAGAAGAAAATTTGTTCAATCACAATCGAACTTTAATCCAGGATCCCTCGACATGCCAAACACTGCATTTATTTACACAAGAACATCATTCTACGACACACATGACGTCTCGTTTTACTTCCCCAGGACCTTTTGTATTGTTTTGAAATAGACGTGTATCAATCGCAAAAGTCTCCCAAACTTATCAGGATAGTTTTTCAGCACCAATGGCGGAGTTTACAAAATTATTCTCATATATAGACGCTTGGTAATTTCTTTTCCTGCTTCTCTGCCTGCCAAACTTAAATTTGAACACTATGCTCGAGTGGCATTATTGAGGAAGAACCGAAATAATACAAGCTCTCCTTGCTCTTTGAATTAATTGCATTTGATGCTCTCACGCTCCATACGACTCCACTTTACCCACGCGTCATCCGCTTGGCTAAAAGGCAAAATGAAAGCAGCACTTTTTGAAAGTAAAGAAAAAAACTCGCCGTTTTAGTCACTTTGAAGTACTTGGCGTTTTTTACCCTGTTTCTGGATTGTTCCCACTTGACAAAAAATTTGAACGCTCCAAACC